TCTGATTGATCACGCATCTCCATGAAAGTTATAGGATACACTCTGGAAGTGGAATATCTCATCAAAATGATAATCGAAGGGCGCTGCTGCTGGGGGCGGAGCACAGGCCGTGGCGGAGCTCAGAAAGGAATGGCAAGCCTTGTACGCTGCAACTAGCGCACCTTTGGCCACAAAAACGCAACATTTCGTTTCCTTGGGCCCCTGACTACTGCTTCCAATGGTGCATGTACTTCCACGCTGCATACACACTTTATCGTAATCTCTCGCTTTAAGCTAACGGAATTCTTTAACAATCCTCATAGTGGTAGCCCATGGAGTGGAAAAAGTAGAGAGCTCCAGGGAGGGAAAGTACTGATAGGCGGGGCGTGAATTGAGGTAGGCGGGGTTTGTCACAGGACCTTATAACCCAGACCGAGGAATTAAGTTAGGACTAGCAAAGGAGAGTTAAATGGTGATGGTGAGTGACGCGTGCAGGTGAATAGGCGGAACTACAAATTGAGAACCAGTAATTCAGTTTCAAGACACCCTGAAGATTGCGGAAATGTTGGCAGAAGTTGGCTAAAGGGGGAGGCAGGGCCAACTGTCCCTTCTTCCATTTTCAATTTTACCACCCTCTTTTTCCAATCTTGTTACCTTCACCACCCCTATAACGTCTCGTCCTTCTAACGTACTCAAATACGTCCCCGCCCCGTCGAGAACTGCGCAACGCACGGTTGACCCTGAAGGGTTGCCATATTACCGTGGAGAGTGGAGCTTAATTCGAGAGTTTTGTTCGCCCAACAACATCAAGGAACCTGCTGTGCTTGCAGCAGCTTTTGTTGCTAGACTTGTTTGTTACTTGAAAAAAATTGAGTGTCTCATGAACTTCTATTTTCATCAATTGCTAGCGGAGTAGCAACACTGGTGGAGTTCTTCATCTTCTATTGGAAAAACAAGGCAATCAGTGCCATTCAGACCGTTTTTAAGATGCGCCATGCGTTCTTTTCAACCATGTAACTTGCTTTGACCATACGTCAATGACAACCCCTGAGAGTAGAGAGATGTGGAAGATTGCTAGCTGAACCATTTTCTATTTCAGAACATGATAAACAATCTGGGCACACGGCTGTTCCAGTCGGTTTCGGACAAGGCCGGCGATCTTGGTGAGAAATTCGAGGAAGAGTTCACACGGCTGTCTGGAAACATAACCTGTAGGTTTCGCTTTTTAGGGAATAGGTAACACCAAATGACCAATGTTGGTGAAACGCAGAGCTGGGGTAAGGCTTGGTCAACCCCTTATGAAGAACTGCCACATATTCCACCCCCCCCCCCTCAAAAAATTGATGGCATTTCAGTGCACATTTGAACTTTTCAATGAATAACGGGATTAGCCGTTTTTATCCCCCAGTCAAACTGTTGCCACTCAGTGCTCCTCTGATGTTGCAAGACTGGGCGTGCTTGAATCTCAGACATGATCCCTGGCTCATGGTCAGATATTTTCCTAACGCTATCACTTGCCATGCTCCTCCTCCTATTTCAAAAGCTCTGGTTCTCCCCACTGGTCCCCACGAACAATTTGCCTTAGCCTCTCAACGAATTATCGTAACACCGACTCAGATTTTTCTTGAGAAATAGACAATTTTCAGCTGAAATCGTATGCTATCGTCACCGAGGCCATCTCGCTTTCCGGATACATCAAAGTAGCCTTGGCTTCTGTGATTCTATGCCGTAAGTGGCTTCTTGTGAAAATCAGTTTAAACATCAAAAGGTCTTTTAGCTCGAGTATGTGTGTAGGTTTATGAAAGTGAATTACCAGTGAACAGAAAACTCGAAAGGAATCGATGAAAGAATCCCTATAATCAAAAATATCTTCGTAATATACAAACACCTCGGAGTATAGATATTGGGCTCTTGGGAGAGAATTGCCGGGAGACCATGGCGGCGAAGGAGACGCAGACACTATGCTGCGCGATCCGTTGTATTGCGGATAGAAGCTACAGCTTCTTTAAGCGCAGGTGCCAAGATCACACGATCGCTGTCTTATTGCGCACTTCCGAGTCGTGGAAGTGACACATTTTCTAATTTCGTGAACAGCTCTCTACCAGCCTTGGAAGAGCTTTACTCACCTGAGTTGTGGAAATGGGTTCCCTTACTTGCCCACTGATTTGCGCATGATGCGACTCTCATCGTTGCTGCCCTCTTCAACGCTAACGCTCTCTCCCTCTTTCTCTGCTGAACGGCTAAGACTCAGACACGAGAGGGGGAGGGCGTACCGCGCCAATAGCGCACCAATTGCGCCGCGGGAAGCGGGCGTTAATAGATTGCCGGTGGCATATCCTTCGATGCGAATTGCGTGTCGGTCCGCTCCCTTAGGAGGTCCGCCTATCTCTCCACAAGGTAAGTTTTCCCTTCTTCGTCCTTATCGTCCTTTAAATATCACATATGCCTTTGAGTAAACCACAATTCACTACTTTGTTCAATGGTGTCATCTCAAAATACAGGTGCTGGCGATTATTCGATTGAGCTCGTTCGGATTGCGATGCATCGCGTTCAAAGCAAAAAGTTGGATGCGTGCCGACGAGAGTAAACCTCCACCACAGGTAAGATAGGGCATCTGCCGATTGGACCCTTTTTTATCGATCCATTTCCGCCTAGGATCCAACAAATGTGGAATCCGGACTATCTCGTTTTTAGGTGATCTTACTGATGCCGACAGAAAACGGTGGATATCGCAAGTCGTCGACAGTCTACGCCGATCCGCAGACGAAAAACGTGCTCGATCGAATCCAACGTGAATCATTCGAGCTGTTTCACAACGACTATGAGGAAGCGGTGCCGATCCGAAAGAAGCCGCCGAAGCTTGGCAGCCTGCGCGAGAATATCTAGCTGATTAACGATCAGTGCTCAGAGACTTTAACTTGCCACTAGCTTTTTCGCGCTTTTTTCGCTTACGAACGAGCTCTTAT